GACCAGTTTTAAACCTGAATAGCCCTTTCCATGCTTCCACAAAATCGCCTATTGAAAGGCTAAAAAAGCTAACGCTGTCAAAAAGGTTTTTTTTTTTTTTTTTAGTAAAAAATTTAAAAAAATATAACTTGAATTTATGTTTTTTTAAGTTTAAATTCGAATTTATGACTAAAATTTGAGTTCAAATTTTTCTTTCAATTCGAGTTTAGAAACTCGAACTCAAATTAATGAACAGTATTTTTTATATTCTTAGAAATGATATAATTTTTTTGTTTTAATTCTGATGGAGATGATTTTTTTTCTATGCGTTAACAATGAAAAGACGAATAAAACTCGACTCATATACCATATTAAAATTTTTTATCAGCATTGAGTTTTTATTAAAATACTATCTAAATACAAATTCAAGTTTTGACTCACTCAAACAGAAACTCAAAAAGATTCTTATCTCAAACCATAACTCAAATGTATACAATTAAATACAAACTCAAGTTAAAAGTTCAACTCAAGTTATAACTCAAATTTAACTCAAGAATTATACTCAAGTTAAACTACAAAAGAACAAGCCCAAAATCACCCAAAATCTATCCCTTTCTCTAGTGCTGGAATTTCAGACGATTTATACCGAGATTTAATTTTTTCATACTTGATGGGCAGGATTTTATGTCCACCCCTCCAGTTTAGGTTTTCAGATTAAGGCTGGGGCAATTTGAAAAAAAATATTTGAACTAAGCTCGCTGCTTGTTTATACCTCATGCCTGCCGAGTGCCCGCCCAGAAGCCCATGCAATTAACTGTTGTTGCCTGATTTGACTGCCGACCCGAAAGCACGACTTCAACGGCTATATTTTGTGCCATTGCCCGATAAGCCCGACCCGTTGAGCAAAAAATAGCCGTTGGATTCAAAAATTTGGGGAAAATTTTGATTTTTTTAACCCAAAAATTTCTCTATAAATACCTCATCCCCAAACATTTTCTTCACAACATTTCTCACATTCTCTCTCAATCTATCTCACATTTATCTCAAATCTCTCTCATAAATTTTTCACAAGCTCACACAAAATTCTAAAGCTCTCTCTCTCAAAGTGCTCTCATTTCGTTTTATAATGGAATCATTTGGTTATGGTGATAATATCGTTGCTCCTCAAAGTCCAATTCCTATTAATGTTTTTACTATGCAGGAATCGCAAACACAAGCACCTGAGAAACAATGTCCAATTCCAAATCCCGGCCATAGTGGATCTAGTGGAGGTCGTGGTCGGAATGGTGGGTGTGAAAAGGCAAGTGTTACTGCAAGTATTGCAACCTCAAAAAGGAAATGCAAGCGTACATTCACAGTTTTGGAGCACTTCAACAAATTTGAGAAGGTCGACAATGTCGATAGCACTAAACAAATAGCTCAATGTAAATATTGTCATTCTAATTTACAATGTGACACTATTCATGGCACAACAAACTTGAGAAAACACTCCAAAAAGTGTCTTCTCAATCATGGCCAAACCGGCGGATTTGAACTCCGCCAAACACAATTATCATTTGATCGCACAACCGGTGGTCTAACAACTTGAAAATACGATCTGCAAGTTAATCGTATGGAAGTTGTGTGAATGATAGCAATATTAGATCAACCACTTAGTTTTGTTGAGCATCCTAATTGGCATCGTTATATTAAAATTATACATAATCCTAATGCACAATTTTTTTTTCGAAAACTACTCTTAGAAAAGATTTGTTAAAATTATTTAAACAATAAAAAGAAGCATTAATCAACATTTTGCACTCAACTAGCGGTTGTGTTGCATTAATGACAGATATTTAGTCTGCCGTTGCTAACAAAGACTATTTATCTATAACCAAACATTACTTCAAAGGTTTTGATTTAGATAAGAGAATATTATAGTTTAAATGTGTTCTAGAATCACATAGCGCCGATCTAATATATAATACAATTTTAAATGTCATTGATGAATATAGATTAAGAGATAGAGTGATTGTTATAACATTAGATAATGCTAGTACAAATACTAAAGCAATTGAATATTTTGAAAATGATTTAAGTTTATTCAGTGATGGTACTATATTTTCACTAACGTTGTGTATGCCATGCAATTAAATTAGTAGTAAAATCCGGTTTAAAATTAATGGATATTCATATAAAAAGAATTAGAAATAGTATTGCATGGATTCACGGTAGTAACCAAAGAGAACAAGATTGGTTTAGGTTCTTACAAGCAGTAAATCTAACTCCTAGAGCATTAGCCCTAGATATGTCTGTAAGATGGAACTCAACTTATATAATGCTTCAACAATGCCTCCTCTATAAAGATGCTATAACAAACTATATCAGTGCAAAATTAGGAGTATGACATAGAGACTCATATGATTGGAAAATTGCCGAAACTTTGTACCAATTTTTAGGTAGGTTTCATGAAGTTACTTTAAGACTTAGTGGAACATATTACCCAATATCACCTTCAGCTTTAGGTGAACTTTTAAGAATTAATATTTTATTTAGTGACTTTAGGGATGACCCAATTTTATGAGTTCCTATCGCTTATATGGAAAAGAAATTTTAAAAATATTGGTATCAATGTTATATGGTTTTAGTACTATTTCTGATCCAAGATTAAAATTTGAAGGTCTAGAAAGGGGTTTAAAAAACTTAGGTGAGTTTTTAGACATCGATTGTTATGACGAATATCCTTTAATAAAGGATAAAATATTTTCTCTATATAGTGTTTATGATAATAGGTTTAAAAACACTGCTTGTGGAGTAGAATAACCACAACAAAAAGATAAAAATCCGTATTTATTCATAAATGTTTTCGGGTTGAAGAAGAAGACGAAGAAGACTCAAACAGAAGTTAGGAGTGGATCTTCATCAAGAGGTGGTGGCGGCGGCGGTGGCGGCTTCAACGAGCTTATGGCGTACCTCAGCGAGAGCTTAGTAGTCGACGATAGTAGAGAAATGTTTGATTTAGTTAAATGGTGGAGGGCACGAGCATTAACTTGGCCAGTCCTAACTCGATTGGCAATGAATATTTTTTGTATCCTAGTCTCCACTGTTTCATCCGAACAAGTCTTCGGTATGACCGGACGAATACTCGAGGAACGAAATGTATTTCAAAGGGATATTGTTGAAACTTTGGTGTGCATTAAGGATTGGGATCATGCCGATCAACGTTTACAAGATACAATTTTCCCGGCAAGCTAAGAATATATAGATGAATTTAATAAGTTAACATTTTACTTTGAAAACGGTCATTCAGCTTTAAATTAAATTGTAATTTGTAAATATTTATTTGCTTTGGACATTGTAATTGTAATATTGTATATTTAGACTTTGTAATTTTGTAAAATTTATAATTCGTCACAAAATGATTGCACTCTTTTTTCCTTATCAAGTTTTTATCCCAATTAGACTTTTCTCGGTAAAGTTTTTAACAAGACAATCATAAATTACAAATTTAAAAATTAATAAACAAAATTAAAAATTTTAAATTGTGTTAATAGTGTGTGTTGATTTTAATCTTAATTATAATTTTATAAAAATTAAAAAATATATAAATATATATATATTTATTTATATATATAAATTCGGGCTCTTCCTCAGGCAGCCAAGACTTGCCCGAAGGCTATTCAAGGTAGAATTCGGGTTCGGGCGGACAGTTTAAATTTTTTGAGCGGGCGGGCGGGCTCGGGCAACAGGCAGAAGTTTGATTTTTTCAAGTGGTCGCGGACGGTCCGTCTAAAATTCCAGCACTACCTTTCTCGCGTTTTATTTTATTTTATTTTATTTATTATTAACAATCTTGCTAGCTTTTATCCAATATCAGTCTGTCACTTGCTAGCTTCCCTTAATTTACTGAACTTATCTTTAGATTTTAATTACTTCTTTTTAATTAATATTTTGATAAATATAATTATTTAATTAAAAATGATATTATTTAAAAATAAACTATAAAAATTTTGATTCATAAATTTTAAGGAGCAGTTGTCTCATTTTTTCTTAAATCTTTGGTTTTTGAGGACCTGTTTTGAGGACTTCCACTAACCAATGTAAACAAACAAACAAAAAGACTTTTTTTTGTCTTTCTTGTATTCTTAAAAAGTACATTTTTTATTTTCACTTGTTTACTGTGTATACAATCACATTATAAGACGCAAAATGTATCCCTTCAGATTTCATTTATTAGGTGAATGAATACGTTGTTCATAACCAAACGACCAAAATACTTATGAAAATAAAAAAGTAAAATAAACTCTAAAAAGTCCATAAATTTGAAAAGAACAAAAAACAACACAGATTTATAGTGTGTTGTCTCCAGCAGAACATTAGAATAGAAAACAATGGGCCCGTTTGTTTGCGTTTTC